ACACTTTTTCTTTTTGAGAATATACAGTAATACCATAATTGATGGCTCTTCTTCGTTTAGCACTTTTTTATTTAAGCCAGGGATTCACCAAAATGTGGTTGGAATTGTACAAAAATTTGTGGAATTAGTAAAACAAGTTAGTCTTTTTAATGATGATCTGAAGGAAACCAGAGATTGCAAAGATTTCAAAGAAGAGCTCATAAAGAACTTTTGGTCTTAGTAAATATAACTTAGACCATTAAGAAAGAAAATATGGACCAATCTGTTGAAAATTATACAAATTTTCCAATATGGGTTGTTGTAGATACTCCTATGCATATATACATTCATCAACAATTTCTCATCACTTTGTTCTGGGTATTACTGTATTAAAATTGTATAAAAGTATGCAAATGAATAAATAAATAACCTATATTTAACCTGCAAGTACTGTCTACTTAATCATACAATTGACCTTCCTAAACTACTGCTCCCACCTCCTGCATTTGTTCCAACAACTCTCGCTGGCAGACTATTTGTCTTCACCTGCAGCTGATGATTCTGCCCCAAAACAGTGCCCCCATCCAAAGCATGAGAATGAGCAAGAGCTATGCTTAGACATTGAACCCACTCTTCTGCATTTTTGCCATCTTTCGGTTTCAGAATCAGTGTCTGGTCTCCAGTGAAAATTTCAAAGGCCTTTGGGATGTTTCTGGCGCCTCCCCGGGATACTTTTACTGATCGGATTTGATTGATGTCGATACTCTCTCCACCGCTCTGGGTAAAATACATTTATTAATAAAAATATTAACATTTAATAAAAATAGAAATGTACAAGAGTTTTAGACAACAAGAACATTTTTGGATAATCTACAACATTTTAAGACTATAACATTTACAAACAATTTACAACATTTTCAGATAAGTTACAAAATTTTCATATAAATTTTGAATGCAACCTTGTTGCAAAAGTCTCATAAAAAGTTTCACTTCAATAATATGTCATATATTAATAAATGATAATTTACTAAATAATATTATATATTACTAAATACTATTATATATAACTAAATACTATGATCATTTACAAAACAATGCATTAAATTAAATCAAACTTTTATCCTTATCCTTACCGATCCTTTGCAAGACAGATGAGCACCAGATAGTGTAAAGTATCTCGTCCTCCAGCGCCTGAAGAGCCTCCATTTGCCTTTCTTCTCCTTCAATTTCCCTTCAATTACTGGCTGGGTGTTTCCTCTTAAAAATCCAACCGCTTTTTCAGGGTGGTTGCAAAGAAAACAGCCCCACTGTAGTAATTGAACGTCGTCGTCTGGTTTGACCAGTTCCTCCTGACTCTTTGATGGCGATCCTGGATCATCTTTGGATGATTTTTGATTTTTATTCGAGGCATTTGTTGGTGTGGAAGTTTTGCTTTTGGATCCATCAAAGTCTTCTCGAGTTAATGTGTTGTTTTTTGGTTTGGAGAGCTCGAAGACGTCGAAGAAACCAGATTGGCGGAGTTCATTTAGAAGGATTTCTTGATCCTGAGAAAAAAAATTCTATCTGTTCAAAATGTTTTAAAATGTGATACCAGCTAGGTGTATCACTGCTTAAGATAAGTGTAAAGATATTTAGATAAAACTTTCAATTGTTTATTTTAGGCTTCACTAAAAATAATTAATAACTAAACATCTACAATTGTCTAATATGTCTTCGATAAAAACTCAATCATAATATTTAATGTTCTCACAAACCATATCCTTTAATTCTATTATTCGTTTGTTGATTTTATAAACAAAGCATTGTTAATGTCTTCAAAGATCAATTGAATTATTAAGCATTAATAAACAATAACAACAAACAACAAATCAAAACAAGAATTCTAACAAACTGCGCCATGGTTCGATTGGTTGTTTAATTCAGGAAGAATCATACAGCATATTAGCAAGTCTGGCTAGTTCTAGCCATCAGAAAAATAATAATAATATATGTATATATATATAAATATATATATATATATATATATATAGTAATTAGACAAAATAGTAAATATATATCAGTTCTTTTTCTTACCTTAGCACAAGGAAAGGCACTAGTGACCAAAGTGACAAAAGTCTTATTCTCGCACTTCAATGTGTCCCAACAATGTTTAAGACTGCTTACCGAAGCATCTCGACTGCTCAAAGCATTCTCTGATCTGGCCTGTAAGATATACAGAGACAGTAAAATATTGTTTGAATAACTTTGATGATTTTGCTGAAGTGAAACTTCTAATATGCCTTCCAACAAGAATGTGCTCTGTGGATAGTCTGAAGAGGTTGTGAGTTGTTCAAGAATGCAAGTTATTTAAAAATGTTTTCAAAATGTCTAAAAATGTTGTAATTTGCCTTAAAATGTTGTACTTTGTCTAAAAATGCTGTAGATTGACAAAAAATGTTGTGAAAATTGTGGATTTTCTACAAATGTTGTGCATTGTCTAAAAATGTTGTAAATTGCTTAAAAATATTGTACTTTGTCTAAAAATGTTGTAAAATATCTAAAAATGTTGTAAATATTCCCTAAAAATGTTATACTATATGTTATACATATAAAAATGTTGTAAACTGCCTAAAAATATTGTAAATTGTCTAAAAATATTGAGGATTTTCTACAAATGTTGTGCATTGTCTAAAAATATTGTAAATTGCTTAAAAATATTGCACTTTGTCTAAAAATCTTGTAAAATGTTTAAAAATGTTGTAAATATTCCCTAAAAATGTTATACTATATGTTATATATATATAAATGTTGTAAACTGCCTAAAAATATTGTAAATTGTCTAAAAATGTTGTAAAATGTCTAAAAATGTTGTAAATTTCTTAAAAATGTTATACTATATGTCATATTTATAAAAATGTTGTGAACTGCCTAAAAATGTTGAAAATTGTCTAAAAACATTGTGGATTTTCTACAAATGTTGTGCATTGTCTAAAAATATTGTAAATTGCTTAAAAATATTGTACTTTGTCTAAAAATGTTGTAAAATATCTAACAATGTTGTAAATTCCCTAAAAATGTTATACTTTGTCTAAAACTGTTATAAATTATCATTATAAGTTATAATTTTCGGCATCTTTGATAATTTTGCTGAAGCGAAATTTCTAATACGACTTTCAACAAGAATGCATGGATAGTCTGAATAGATTGTGGATCATTTAAGAATGTTGTAAGTTATTTAAAAATATTTCAAAATGTCTTGCATTGTCTAAAAATGTTGTAAATTGCCTTAAAATGTTGTACTTTGCCTAAAAAAGTTATACACTCTCTAAAAATGCTGTAAATTGCCTAAAAATCTTGTAGTTTGTCTAAAAATGCTGTGAACTGTCTAAAAATGTTGTGAACCGCCTAAAAATGTTGTAAATTGTCTAAAAATATTGTGGATTTTCTAAAAATGTTGTGCATTATCTAAAAATGTTGTAAATTGCTCAAAAATATTGTGCTTTGTATAAAAATGTTGTAAAATGTCTAAAAATGTTGTAAATTCCCTAACAATGTTATACTTTGTCTAAAAAGTTATAAATTATCTAAAAATGTTATAAATTATCATTATAAGTTATAATTTTTGGCAACTTATTGTTATAAGTTGTTCAAAAATGTTGTACATTATAAAAATAGTGTACATTGTCCAAAAATTCTGTAAATTATCTTGAAAGTGTTGTGGATTGTCTAAAAATATTCTTAATTGTCTGAAAACGTAGTATATTGTCTAATAATTGTCATATATTGTTTAAAAATATTGTACATTGTCTAAAAATGTTACAGGTAGTCTGAAAATGATGTAGATAATGATGATCAATGAATGATAAAGAATGAAAGACTTAAAAAAAATAATTCGAGTCCACTAAAAATCTATTTCTATTCCCACATTACTTAGTTTTAAATCTTTTGCACTCCCTAATTTTTTTACACAGTAATTTGTATACTTTATACCTGTAAAGCAATAAACATCAAATGTATCCAAATCTTTGGATTTCTTGTCCGCATCGTGAAAAATGTTCTCGAATACAAACAGTGTTCTCCTCTGGTCTGACAAGTAAAGTGTAATTTTGCTAATTTCTTAGCTCTTCTCTCTGAAAATATAAAATAAATATAGATGTAAACATAAACATATAAATATATAAATATAAATAATATCAGAAATATTAGGAAAACAATAAAATAAACATCTAAAATCTTTTATCTAACCTTCTATTGTACATTTAGCAGGTGGAGGTATCCTGGAAGACATGTTATCCATATAAGCCTTGATTTTATCGAGGTGCTTCTCACAAAAGTGCTGAACAGTATCACGCATAGGAAATGGTTCAAAAACACTCATCCTCTGAAAAAAAAATATGTTGAGTCAGTTCAAACTAATTGCCATATTAATATGATAATTATTACTTACCTGGTTAGCTGCATTGTTTGTATTGAGAAGTGTTATTGATGTGTTGTTGTTCCGACGAGATATCACATTGCTGGGAACTGTTATGCTCAAGGGATTCGAACCTAAAAGAAAAGCAATTCATCATTAATCATTTCTATTGTACTAATTATATATAGAAGTATATAATTACCGTAATTAACTCCAACAACTGATGTATTTGCATTGTTATTGGCAGATCTTGGTGGAACTCGAGGGGGTAAAGTGCTTGTTGTTACAGTGACTCCTCCTGATTGCACCTAAATATATAAAAAGATTATATATATATATATATATATATATCTTACTTTTTTTATTATTTATTTTGTTTGCTATAAAATATAATGTTTAATTAAAGACTTACATAGTGAATTAATTTGATCCAACTTTACTGAGAGCATGTACAGAATAAAATGTTTTATTGCATTATTTATATAATATTATATTTATATAAATTTAACTATGTGTAACTGGCATTTTGTTTTTCCCTTATGTGTCAATGAAAAGTCTTATTCTCGTTATGTTCATGCAAGTTTCTTTACAACTAGTTTTAAACAAAAAGTTATATCTGTAAGTTTACCTTATTGGTCGTCTGTTGAGATGTGTTTGGTATCCCCCATTTATTGTGCCCTGTAACAACAACACTATTACTGAGCGGAGGCACTGGTGTCACTTGTAAGCTTCCTGCACTCGATGTCCAAGCTGTCACATTGCCAGGTGCCAACATTTGTGCACCACTTGCACCTTAATAGAAACACCAGATTCAAAACCAAGATAACAATTTAAAATATTTACCATATCCAACTTACCATTAAAATTATTATTGCCTTCACCAGAATTACCATTCACATTACATGTTGCAACATTTGTGGCATTACCCGAACTGAATCCATTATTATTATTACTATTATTATTTATAGAATAAGTGGCAACACTTGTGTTATTTAAAATGTGATTATTGTTTGTGTTTCCTACAGCAACAGGGTTTGAAAAGTTATGTTGGACAGCATTCTGGTGGACATGAATTGGATTCATTGTAGCTGAAAGCATAAACAGTTTTTGATGTGAAGTATAGTTTAAAAAAAGTATAATTGTGAACTTACTGTGTGTTAAGAGAGCCCCATGACTGCCACCATGGTGCTGCTGTCCTACTCCTGAATTGGCAGTGTTCATGTTGATCTGCTGAGACGATACTGAGCTGTGTAGTCCTCCAACAGAGCCACCAGCTCCTGAAGACATGTTATTTAGACGAGTAGCACTCCTATGTGTATTGTTACCTAAAACAAAACTTAAATAAATAATACAATCCAAATCATGATGCTACAATTATCACTTGTCAAATTTAATCTAAACATCACTCATTATTTATTTATTATACCTGAATGTAATCGGCCAGTACTTCTAGAATCCCCCAACTTAGCTCGCCTTGTATATCCAGGATTGACAGCAACCTGATTAGTTTGACCAGTTTGGCCAGTTAGTTTAACAATAGTTACACCTCCAGAAGTGTGATTCACCTGATTAGTGCTGATGGATAAATAAAAATTAATTATAATACTTAAAAAACATATAGAATAATTGTTTACCTTCTATTATTGTTAACACCGTTAATACTTGTAACATTATTATTGTTAATATTATTATTATTCATATTTCTCTGCCGAACACTTGACAACATTTTATCCGTAAACAAAACTGGATAACTTGAACATAACAAGGTAGCCTCTCGCAGCAATGTTGTCTGTGAACCTCTGTCAGCTTTTGGCAAATGCTCCAACACAAAATTTAAAGCCTCTTGAGCTTTATCCTGAAAATAATATAATACCAATAGTAAATCAATCATATACAATCAGTGAAAACAATTATTTACCTTGCTTAGTTTTCCAACAGCAGCAATTATCCTGGCTGCCAAACATACTGCTCCGGGGTTCTTTGCTGCAGCAGCCCTGACTCCTGCAACATGATCAGCGAGCAGGGATGGTCTACGCTCTGCCAAACCAGCTAAGACTTGCATTGTGGCTGCTGAGGTTGCCGGAGGAGATAGGTACTCACAGAGTTGGGGCACACTTGCCTCCAGAAGCTAGTAACACAGAATTGAAATTGTATACAAAACAATATTTTGTTAAAAATGAATCTAAAATATTTAAGAAATTTGATCAGTTATATTTATATTATCTTACCATAGGTTTATTTTTGGCAATCAGGGAAAACAAATGAAGCAAATGCAATTGTTCTTGGACGTCACAGTGCGGTAGTAAAGCAACTAATGCCATTGTGTGATTACCCAAAGGCTCAGGTGACACTTGATAAATCTGAGCTAGCACTCTGCATAAGGGATAGTTTCCTAAAAATATTTTATTAATAACAATATAATTATATCAGAGAATTAAAGGCCAATATAAGTTTTTACCTGATATTATTGAATCCAAAACAGGCTGGACATGTGGTGAAAGCAAAGAAGCATGTTCAATAGCAGCCAATGATAAATATCTGGCTAAATTTCTGGACAACTCTTTGTTTCCTTTATGCAAAAATTTCACGGTTACAGGCAAAGCTACTTCCATCACAGCCCTCTTGCTATAATTCTAAGAATATAACTTATATTAATACACAAATCATACAGAAATATATTATCTATTACTCTTACCAAAAATACACTGGCTATAACATCAGCTGCAATCTTGGCATGTGGGGGGTCCTGGTCCTTTGCACCAGGTCGTAGACTGTGATGTAAACATGATTCTAAAAGAGCTACCAAAGCCTGGCAATGCCTTTCAGCACTATCAGTCTCTCTGATACAACTTGTGACTCGAGTAACACAGATTTCCACCACAGACTGGTCATTCGAGTTCCTTCCATAGTCTGGTTGAGAGGCTATTTGGGTAATCTCATTCAACTGGGGAAAGATGAGAAGTGAGAATGAAATTTGTAAATAAAAAAATTATAGTATCTAAATGTAACAAAATTGTAAAATATAGTTACAGTTTATTTAACTTGATGTGACTTTCAGTTGCAATATATAGGCTGAAAATGTTCTAGTTGTCTGAAAATGTTCAAAATAGTCTAAAAATATTGTAAATTGTTTGAAAATGTTGTAAATTGTCTGACAATGATATAGATTGCCTGAAAATGTTGGAATTTAACTAAAAATGTTGGAAATTGTCTGAAAGTGTTGTAAACTGTCTGACAAAGGTGTAATTGTCTGAAAATGATGTAAATTGTCTGAAAATGTTGTAAATTGTCTTATAATGTTGTAATTTGTTTGAAAATGTTGTAAATTGTCCAAAAATATTGTAAATAATCTAACAATGTTGTAAATTGTCTGAAAATGTTTATGTTGTCTGTAAATATCGTAAATTGTCTGAAAATTATGTAATTATTCTAAAAATAGCAAAGTTTGCCCAAAATTAAATGTTATTAAATTAATCTGTGTTAAAATAATTTTATAAGCTTTAACTTAGCTAAAGATTAAACTACTTAGAGTATTACTACTAAAGCATAAAAAATGTAATTATGCATTACATTTTGCCTTTTTATAAGATGTTATTTTAGATTTAAATTAAAGTTAGATTCTATATTATTTTAAAATCACAATATATATACATATGTTTATATATATATATATATATATATATATATATCATTAATATATAAGATTATTTCAAATAGTATGCAAATATATACATTTGTATATATTTACATCTCACTAAATTATTCAAAAAACAAGTATTTGTAGCATTTGACATTTACCACTTCTGTTAGGTCATCTACAATGACATTATCTGCCACAGAAAATAAATCACCAGCTCTAGACAGATCTCGCTTCCCCAAAACTTGCGTGAACAGTTCATGCATTTTTTAGGCGTTTTTATTTTTCCAAAAATAAGCTGACAGTCGAAGAACACATTTTGGAAATTGAATAAAAACTTGTATGAGAATGAATGTAAATCAGCCTTGAATCTGAAATATTAAAAATTTTATAATTATAGGTAAAACCAAATATAAATTAAGATTGTTTTTTTTTTAACTTTTGACCCGACTGACCCCAATGTGTACACCGGGTGTCATCACTAATTAAGGTTTTAATTAATTCAAGTACTTTTATATATAAGTAATTTATGTAGTTTAGAAGTTCATAATAATGTTTAAGACTATAATGTTTTTATTAGTATTAAACATGATACAGGTATGTGTGAGTACCACCTGAGGTAACTGACCTTTCTCTTTGCAAAACCACTGTAGAAAGCTGTCACTTGTATAAATTAAGTTGGAAGCACAGAAAATATAACTTTTTTCTAATCTTATCTACAAATTTGATAATACAATTATATCATTTGATATTCAATTCCAAAATGGACCACTTGCACAAATGTATGTTGCATTTTTAGGGGTTAATATAAACAAAAAAATTGTATGATTTTGAAATATACATTGGTAAAAAAATATATACAAATATACTCACTTGTAAATAAACACTTGATAAATTATATCACACTAAACAATAAACAATAATATCATTCACCATTTACATCGTCCCACTTAATGCCACATATGCTATCAACTTTTTTCACCTGACATTCAATTTGAACTAAATACACCACTTGCTTGAGTTGTTTAATTAATAATTAATCATTTGTATGCTTTTTTAAATAATTTGCAATTCTTATTTAATATAATTATCGTTAGTTCAATTGAAGAGAATGTAAAAAAGTTTAAAAATCGACTTTGACAGTTCTACTTGTTTGACAGCTGACAATGGTGTTACCAGAGAAGAGTTGCCAATAGTAAAGTAAAAAAATATTGCTGCGCGGTTTTTTTAAAGTGAGAGATTTGAAAATTATTTAAAATAAATTAATACAAATAAAATATAATTTATTTTAAACTACTTATAATATAAAAATTAACTACTTATAATATAAATTATAAGTAGTTAAACACTATCAATCATGTTTTGCCATCAATAGAATTAAATTTTTAACTGAAAACTATATTTTAAGGTCATTGAAAAATGTGTAATTGTAATAATAAATTTTATACTTAATAAAGTTTATCCTACAAAATTAATAAAGTATATCCTACAAAATGTAGTATAATCACAACAAATAAAACCCATAATTTTGCAAACTAAATTCTGCATAACAAATAAACTTGATTTTTAAGATCAGCCTCGAAGCGCATCAAATTCTTGTTTTAAATCATTAGAAAAAACATGTAAATATTTAAACTATCTATATGCATTAACATTATATGGATTTGATTATTTAAAATTTTTTAAACCAACTTTGTTTTTTTTTTTCAGGTCACTTTCACACTTATAGTCATAAACAAAATGATTTATAAGAGAAAACCATACAAATAAAATTATAGAAATATTATTGGATGTTTCTAAATTGATTAGAGTTAATGTAGCAATAACAAATTCAAAAATAACAAAAATTTTCATAAAAAATATTTCAAGAATATTTAACTTCAAAAATATAATATAATATAATATAATATAATATAATATAATATAATATAATATAGTATATATATATATATATATATATATATATATATATATAATATGTGTATGCAAATTGTGCAATGCATTTAAAGTGACTCAATGCACACAATGCATTTATAATGAACAAAAAATCGTTCAGGAATTTTACCTTTTACTTACATATACATATCACATATCTATGATATATATATATATATATATATACTCGTATATATATATATATATATATATATATATATATACATATATCATAGCTATTTATATAGTTTATAAGCGAAATTCATTAAATGGTTTTTAAATTTTTGAGATCAGTGCAGCCGTTTTTGAGAAAACGTCGGAAAAAGATCAAAGTTTGACTCATAATAATAATAAATGGTGGTCTGCACGGAGGCAGGTCCATTGTGTGAGAACCATCACAAATAAATGATTCCCTTACCTTTCGTCGTCTATCATTCCCATTACCACTATTCCCCCCATCCTTTATATACTTTTTTATGTATTTTCCTTTCCAAACTTCTGCATCCATGCTTCCTGATCCTGCGCTTTATCATTTAGTTTCCTGTATTTTTTCTTATCGCGTAAATCGTCAATGGTCTGCATTCTTCTTCTTCCCATTCCTGTCAGCCTTCTATTTTACCCTAGACGACGTCGTGCAGGAGGCACTCATTTGCAGAAGGAGTCCGATCCAGTTTCCTTTTCTTTTCAGGATCGAGTCCTTTCTTTGTTCACTCTTCTCAGTACTTCTTCATTTGTGATCTTGTCTGTCCACTTTATCTTCTCCAGCACCACATTTCAAAACTCTCCAAGTAGTTCTTGACGACCTTGCTTAGAGTCCATGTCTCTGATTTGTACAGAGCTATGTTCCATACATAGCACTTTATTAGTCTCTTCCGCAACTCGAGACTCATACATATCTGTATCGAATTTGGCGACAAATGATTCAGAATGACTTGAAACATATATAATTAGCAAATCGGATTTTCTGGCAAAAGCATAACTTCTCATTTGGGAAGATAGTAATAAAGATATACTACTTATTAATAAACAATATGAAAATCTAGTGTTGTTAATATGATTCGTTTTATGTCAGCGAGTTTTACTGTTAAAACACACAAGAGAAAGTTGATCATATAAATACATATGTGTATGTATAATATATATACATACACATGTGTGAATGTATATATATATGTATATACATATGTAAATATGTATACGTATATGTTTATTATAAATGCATATTAGTACTGCATAAATTTAAAATCAATTGCGAAAGAATAAATTCTTTTTCAAAAAGAAATTGTGATGAAAGTGGATGGATGCAAGGTGCGTTAAAAAAGCATTGATGGACATTATTTTTCTTGTTAACTTCGCCGATAAGAAGTTTATGTTTTCATTGGAAAATGCGTCTTGCTAAATTCATGTTCAAGATAAAAAGTATGAGTGCAACCTTTTGCCGTCATTTTCTCAAAAACTTTTGCGCTGTTTTCAAAATTTTAAAAGTGCATAAAGAAAGTTCAGTTCCTATTGATTTAGATTTATTTACAAATATCAGGAAGTTCATTATGCCCAAAATAATGTTTCGCTCCAGTCATTCTGAATCGTTTGACAAGGAAATACAAAAAACGTGTGAGTGCAACCTATCGCCGCCATTTTCTCAAAAACTGCTGCAACGTTTTCAAAATTCCAAAAGTCCATAAACGAATCTCAATTCCTATTTGGAAATCGTTAACAGAATTTTACTGTGGTTTGTTTATTAATTTTAATGCATGGAATTTGAATTTAAAAACACTTAATCCTCTTATGTCTATCTGCATTACCAAGAGTCTTCAACCATCCAAAGACTTTTGAATCCCATTTAAACAACAATTTGTAGGTACTTTTAAGTACCGTAAGACACAAACATTCGTTTTCTAGTTTGAATTAATATTAATAATTTATACCATTGACGTCTTGCAAAAATTTATATAGGGTCCGCCAAATAACTTTTTTTTTGAAAATTCTATAAAAAAATTACTGTTTTTTTTTAATTTGAAATAATAGTTTTGGTTTGTAAGGGAAATGCAAATGGCAGCCTAACTTTTAAATGGTTGCCAAAAAATCAAAATGGATGCCAAAAAATCAAAATGGATGCTAAAGATTCAAAATGGCCGCCAATGATGGCGGACTCTTTATAATTTATATATAATCAACATAACATGATGAGCAAATTCGTCAAAGTGGTAGAAGATACGGAATGGAAATCAACAACGACAAGTCGAAAGTGATGAGGATCACAAAAAGAGATAAGGTCCTGGGGATAACGGTAGAAAATCGACCTGGATCATTCCAAATACCTTGGGAAGCATCCTGATCAGAGGATAATACACGAGAGAGGTCAGGGCAAGGATCAAGAGCGTCTCGACTTGTGGAAAAGACTAATAAAATGTTTGGAGCAGAGCTTTGTACGGATCAGATGCATGGAGAAAACTCTAAGAAAGGCCAACAAAAATTACTTGGAGAGTTTTGAAATGTGGTGCTGGAGATGAATGGAGAAGATACTGTGGACAGATGAGGTAACAAATAAAGAAGTCCCGAGAAGAGTGGGCGAAGAAAGGACTCTACTGAGCACAATCCTGAAAAGAAAAGAAAACTGCATCGGACTCGTTCTGCATGAAAGTGCCTCCTGCACGATGTCGTCAAAGGACTGAAAGGAATGGGGAAGAAGAGTGCAGACGGTTGACTATTTACGCGAGAAGAGAAAATACAGGAAACTGAATAATAAAGCGCAGAATCAGGAAGCATGGAAGCACAAGTTTTGAAAGAAAAATACATAAAAAAGTATCAAAAAGGAAGAGAAACAGTGGCAATGGGAATGATAGACGACGAAGGATAAAATTATGTATATGTTTATAGTTTATAATAATTTGACTAATTCTATTCGCTAATAGTTTAAACTTTTAATTTTTATCTTGGATATCAATGCTTTCTCACATTCCACTGCACTCGACTCCGCTTCCATTGCAAAATATACACATTGATAAAGTGCGCGGATGGAAGTATATCACGATGGGATAATATTAATTAAAATCAAAACAAAATAAATAAATTATAATACAGACAAAATAAATAACTAACAAACAAAATATAGATATTACAACAATTGTGGAAAAAGAGAATTATTAAATAAAGTGATATCATTAGGATAATAAAAAGTTGTGGAAGTGATTGTAAAATTTTTCAATTGTTATGATAATTATTATTCTTATAAATATAATGTGATTAGTGCAAAATAGTACATTTAATTAATTTGCAATATTAACTTCCTTATTAATTATTAATTAGTGAAGTTGTTTTATGTAGAGCAGGTCGTTAAAATTTATTTTCTATTATACCAAAAAATGGCTGTGATAAAAAGTGCTTTAGTGATTATAAATCTGGCGCTAATTCTTACGGAAATATTTGCAGAAAATGGTAGATATTTTCTATTAAATTAAAAAATAATAATAATAATACTTTAGTTTTTTATTTATAAATATTTTATATATATTTTTTTCATTTTTTTTTCATAAATTATATTAATTTTAAAAATAAATTAGTCATAAGTGGTATTTTATTTTGGAAAGTTCTATAAATTCATATAAACGTGTAAATAATAAATAAACTGAAAAGAATATAAATCAAGATTACTTCAGTGTATGTCCTAAGGGCGCCTTATATTATTCCCCAATTGTTTAAAATTAAACTATTTTATTTTTATTAAGCATTATCCAACCCCTTTTCTAATTTTAGGGTCAACTTTATTTATTTTAATTTTTTAATGCGGAATTAAAAAAACACATACAACTCTTTTTACTTCAAATACTATTTATTTTTATCAAGAGTTGCCTACCCCTAACATTTTTTTTATTTTGAGAGCAATTTTTTCATTTTGATTTTCTACAATTTAAAATTGAAAAATACATATAACTCTTTTTATATATATTTGCTCTTTATATATATCTTTTTACTTCGAAAAACTATTTATTTTTATCAAAGGTTTTCGCCGCCATTTTTTTAATATTAATATTTTAATTCATATTTTCCTGCCATTATGATAACACATGAATTCTACTAAAAAAAGAAACAATTTATTTTTCCTATTATATTTGCTCTTTATATGTATGTTTTTACTTCAAAAAACAATTTATTTTTATCAAGGGTTTTCGCCGCCATTTTTTAATATTAATTTTTCATTATATTTTCCTGACCTTATGATAAAGTATGAATTTTACTTAAAAAAAAATATCAAGGGTTGTTCACCCCTGACATTTTCCCATTGTACAAATATTTTCCGATGATGCGCACAAACAGTACATAGTTGATAAATGGTTTGCAAAAAGAGCAATTTTTGCAAAGAAATAGGGAGAGCGAATATTAACCCTTTCGACTCGGATGCCGCCGCTCCGACGGCAAAATACATATGAATTCCCAAATTTGCGAGTGGAAAGGATTAAAATCTGAAGATATAACAGTTTTTGATAGAAAACTAGGTACCATGAAAATCTATGGCAAAAATGTGAAACTTTTCACTTTCTCAATTTTGTTCAATATCAGTCAATTTGCTAGACATGCCACATAACAATATAATTTAAAAACAAATTACCGGATTTTGTAATTAAAAAATAATACTAGCGGGGTGTATGGCATCGTGCCTTAAGGCAAATTGCTGGAACTTCCCGTACCGTAACGAAATGTTCGAGGAATACTGAAAGTTTTCAAATAGATTATTATTAATATTGTAACATTGTCTAATATTTATAAGAATTATATAAACTGAATTGCAAAGTTGAAATTATTGGTTTAAAGTATATTAGAACTATAGTCAGAATTAAAAATAAAATCTGAATTATTTTCGATATACAAAAAAAATTTTTTTTTGAAAAAAAAAAAGTTGTAGCAAACAAATTTTTTGTTCCAAAATCAATTATTTTGTTAAGACAAGCAGAACGTTCTTTGAATCATTTAAATCCGACGCTTAGTTCTTTCAAAAACTGCCATTTTTTACACATTTAGCTCCGTATCTTCAAAATGATTGGGCCTGCCTTTGCCAAAAACTAATAAACACTTCTCCCAATCATTACTAATTGAATGTTTTTTAGATCATTCAAATCTTCTGCACTCTTTGCTCTTTATCTCCTTAACTGTTGGACCTGCTTTTGCCAAAAACTAATCAGCTTTTTTCCCTATCAATAGGAATCAAATGTTTTTTAAACCATTCAAATCCGTGCACTCAAAAACGTGACTGGAAATTTTTATCCATACATACATACACTCACACACACACACATCCATTTTTTCTGAGGTATGCCAAAATGTTCAGAAACCTTCAAAACGTTGAGAAATGTAAAAATTTTCAATTTAGATATTCGGCCCATTATGATAACTTACCCTACGGGAAGTTAATAAAATCAGCTTCAGATAAGGTTGGCACTTGCAAAGGCTATTAATCTTACTCAGAAGTATTTATATGTAGCATGCTTTGCAGTGGGTAAACTATTTATATATTTAGAAATATTTTTTATGGCAAAACAACGTTTGCTGGGTCAGCTAATATATATATATATATATATATATATATATATATATATATATATATATATAAATAAATGGCTGATTTTTTCTGATTCCAGGCAATGACACAATTTCTGAACCGATACCGTGTATCGAAGAAGGCAGATTTTACAGGTAAAATCTGTATACACACACATTATATATGTGTATATATAATATTATTATTATATTGTTAGGAATCCCGCAAGGTCTGCACACAGGCTCTGGACGAGCGAAGAGTGCTCCAAGTACTTTTTGTGCCTCGATGGCGAAGTGTTCGAATTTCGATGCAGTTCTGGATTACTTTTCGACGTTTCGAGACAAATCTGCGATTTTCAAGCCAATGTCGACAATTGCGACATTACCGCCGGTAAGAATAATAAAATAAAACCGTCGCCAACTACTCTTGTATATAGCCAATGAACTTTTACATGCTAAAGACATTATTTACTAAGAGGTGTTTTTATGATAAATCAACTCCGAGTATCATTTTCCACTAATTACCAGCCATTAATTCAGATCCAGGTCAACTACGGTGTTGATCTAGTTCAAACGTTCTACCGACGAGGAGAACCGGTTCGTAAATGGTAATAATGTGAAAAATATGAACCAGTCAGTAAACAACAAACACTTAGCCAGCCTATTTATTATTTATACCCGAAAATGGGACAAAAAAAGAAGTTTCCGCCAGGAAGAAGTGAAATTCACAATATTTTCAGACAACATTTCAAGACAATCAAGAAATAAACATATCAAGACAATTTACCACATTTTCAGGCAACATACAACAGTTCCAGACAATCTACATCTTCAGACTGTTTATAATATTTTTAGATAATTTACTACATTTGCAGACAGTCTATAAGATTTTCCCACAATTTACATTTTGTTATCACCTTGCGTTGAATGCAGCCTTGTTGGAAGTAGCATAAGAAGTTTTACTTCAAATGTCAATATTCGCCTTATTTTCCAGAAGAGAAAATTCCAAAGCCTCTGCTCGAGGAGGCGGGTTGTGATATTCCAGGAGAGACTGGATGCGGAGACGGAACTTGCATACCAGAACAGTATTTTTGCGATGGAGCTCTCGATTGTCCTGATGGATCTGATGAGGTATATATTAACTCAAGAAAGTGGTAATTTATCTTATCATCAATTTCCTATTCTTTTCAGGGACACTGTGATTTAATCACCCACATAATTTCCAAACACTCTGCACCGCCATGCGACCCCTTCAGGTGCCATCTGCCAGAATGCTACTGCACGGCCTCTCAAATACCAGGCGGCCTTCCAGCCTCGGAAACTCCTCAAATCATCTACGTTTCTATAACCGGATCCGTGACTTCATCAGAAGATGATGACGACTATGATCTTCTGTCGAGGGGCCTGTTTCCGCAAGGGCTCGTGCGGAATCCAAATGGGTGCCCCCCGAGGTTGACGTGGTTTTTGACGCACCGAGATACCGATTATGCGAGCGTCCAAAAGATTTGGCACGATGGACACGAAATTGGAGTCAATTCAGTAACGTAAGTGAAAAGGATAAAAGATTGAAGGGAAGTTTCTAAGGCGACTTTTGACAAGGTTGCGTTCAACGTTCAACTTTACCATAAAATATTGCAGAGGAACTGAAAATGTTATAAATACTGTGAGATTTTCTGAAAATGTCGCAGATTGTGTTAAAATATTGTAGTTTATATAAAAATATTATAGATAGTCTAAAAAAATAGTAGATCGTCCGAAAATGTAGAATGTAGTCTGAAAATGTTTATTATTATTGCTATTTTTCAGGCACCGTGGTCCTTCTGATTGGTGGGCCAGAAATGCAACAATAGAAGATTGGTTTGATGAAATGGTCGGAGGTGCCAATATAGCCAGAAGGTTCTCATCAGTCCGATCACAAGAAATCCGGGGTACGAGAGCCCCGTTTTTAGCACCAGGATCAGATCGACAGTTTTTGATGATGCAGGAATTTGGTTTTGAATTTGACAGTTCTCTGAGAAGTAATGGGACATACTGGCCTTACACTTTGGAGTACAAGATGCCCCATCAATGCATAGGTATAGAACTCAATAATATCAACATGAAACACTAATTTGGATAAATGGATTCTTTTATTCTTAGGAGAATATCAAACATGTCCAACCCGCAGCTATCCTGGTATCTGGGAATTCCCTATCAATCCAATAGCACCCATGGATGGGCCTATTAATCGTGTAGACCCAACATGTGCAATATTGGATCCAAATACAGAATGTGGCTCCAGAATATCTGGTGAGGAAGCTTTTCGATCATTCAGTTTGGCTTTTGTCAGAAGTTACAAGACAAATAGGGCTCCTGTTGGATTTCACTTCAGAAGTTCATGGTTGAAGATAAGGAGAAACTTTGATGCTTTCCAAGTAATTAATAAAAGTTACATTTAATTGATAACAAATTATAAACCACTGTTATTTTAGAGATTTTTGGATGAAGCTTTAAGAAGAAACGACGTTTATCTGGTCACCATGCATCAGGTTTTAGAATGGATTAGGAAACCAACACCATTATCACGAATTTTAGATTTCGAGCCTTGGAAATGCCCAAAAAAGCATTTTGCGCCTGACGAAAGACCGTGCAAGGTACCGAACAATTGCAAATTGTTCAGCAGACTTCTTCAACAAAACAGGTAACGAAATAAACGTTATATAAATATATATATATATATATATATATTTATTTATTATATGTTTTGTTTGCAGGATCCTTAGAACCTGCAAGACTTGTCCAGTGCAGTATCCATGGATCAGAAATGAATTTGGCATTGACTAATGGCATTTTTTATAAAATATAAATTTTCACAACGCCATATGATGCACAATGGATCATATATACATATACATATTCTTATTTATCATAAAATATTTATTATCATCTAAAAGAAATCACATTTTTAGAATAAGGCAACGATATGAAAACATTTAGCTCTGGCAACCCAAATATTTTGTAAACTAGTTGTAAGTGGCGATTTGCCTTGAGGTAAGATGCATGAACAACCCTTGAATGTGTAAATATATGACTTAATGATTAAAGATTGAGATTTAAATATATAGATAAAATTTCAAATGCTTATTTTGCTTCCACTTCAAACAGGCTTATAATATATGAATTTTATGAATTATAGTGCACTAACCTATGCTTAGAACATACACGGTGTATGTCCTGAAAACATGGTCCATTCTTCCATTCTTTAATGATTTTTCATAATCAAACCATTTTTCATAGGACTATAATGTTTTAAGACGTTCATTAAGGTAATAAACGCAATTACGATACAAAGTTTTAAAATGAATCACGAAGAAACGGCGCGGCTGATCTTTGCCAAAAATTAACCAGTACTATTTCCAAAAATTCTCCTTCAGTAAATTAATATTTAAAATAGATATTAACTATTAAATTAGAGACTATCTGGAATCGTTTTACATTATATTTATTTCCTTATTTATAAATATATACTTTTGACTTGTAATTATTATTTAAAGAATTTCTTGATATAAAAATCTACATATATATATAGTTGACGTTTTTTTGTAAAATATAAGAGTATTTATTATTATTTGTTATATCCTTTTAACTTGTTCATAAAATATTATCACACTATTTAATTATTATTGCAAAAATGGCGAGCAACTCACAATTAAAAAAATAACAGACGATTTTAGATAAAACAAAATGAATAAATTCTTAACTTAGGTGATTTATTTACAAGTGATATTTTAAAGATAACGACTTGACTTAATGACAAAAATATAAACATTCAGGTAACTAAAAGTGGCATATTTAATTAGTTTATTAGGAAAAACATCAGATTTTTTCTTAAGGCAAGTTGCCACTAAAACCTAGTGCAAGTTAAGATCTTATATACAAATATCACTTGTAAATAAATCAATAGACTATAAAATTTTAACATGCATATACTTTTACATACTGTATCTTAATTTATCCAATTACTTTGGTTTATTACTTTGGTGCAAATGTGATGTCTCCATTGGAGTTCCATTCTGTTGCCAAAGCTCAATCGCTTTATTTGCAATGATTTCAGCAGTTTCTTCTGTTATCTAAAAAAACATTACAATATTTTAATAAATTAGGTGTAAGTGATATAATTAAATATTAGGAGAATTGAGATTCAACTACTTTCAAAATTGTGATGATAGGCATTGTTCATTATACCAAACTTTGTTGACAAACAAATTTCTCCTTTGGAAAGTTAAAAATAAAAATATTAGCAAACATCTCCTGTACTTACATTTCCCAAACAAGATATGACTTCATCCAAATCATTACATCTCAATAATGAGCGTCTCAAATTTGTAAAAAGAACCACAGCCACAAATACTAAAATTTTTATGGAACCACCGCACATTTTGTCCCAAATTCTAAAAAATATACCATTATATTTATTAATTACAAAAATACTAATATTTGTTGAACAATGAGTTGCCATATTATTACTTGACAAGAGCTGCTTCGTTCAGTACTCCAGCAAAACAACATTTTAACCAGTTTGATATCGGCAGTCCTGTCAGTGCATTTATTGTTTGTAAATGTCTGGGGAAAAAACTTGGTTAATAAAACAAATATAAATAATATAAAATAATACAACAAATTAACATACTTATATAACTCATTATCCTCCTTCTCAATTAGTCTGACAACATTATCACTATGTTTTGGAATATCACATTGAATTTGTTCGGAGAATTGGAAAAAGCCTTTGGCAACCCAATACACCTCCGCATCACTATTGAAAACTTGAAGCAAAGCCTCACATATAGCCACTAAGCTGCTATTCTCTTTCTAAATAACAATATATAATATATTACAATTAGAACTAAAAACTGCACTATTTAATAAAAATATTAGAGTCACAAACGTTTTGAGACTTTGGTTGCAAATATATAGAAATATTTCAACTACCAATTTATTTAATTTATGTACAATCATAAAACATTATTAAAATAACATATTTATATGACTTAAGTACAAATCATGTACTATATTAAGATATGTTCTTAAATTTATTGTATTTTTCTTATAAATAATTAAAAATCAATTCAGATATACTATATTTGAATAGATCTATTTGTTTAAATAATGTTTTAAGGTTTTTAAGATCAAAACTGTTGTTTTACAAAATGGCATGGTGAACAAGGCTTCTTTTATGTTTTTTTTTCCTAAACCTCTTGTTTTGTAGTTCGTTTTATCTAGTTTTTCATAAGCCTGTCCAATATATGAAAAGTCACAATCCAAGCAATTGTATTCATAAAAAATGTTCATCTTTCTTGAAAACTGTATTTTATCTTTGATATTGCTATACAAAAAATATATTTATATATGTAAATGAAGAGGTGCTAAGGAAAGTGGAAGAAAAAGTGAAGAAGTGGAACTCTTCATTAAAAGGAAAGTAAACAGGATCGAATCCATATTTCAAAGAGAGTGTCTGCTGCCATCAAGGTGAAATATAAGAACTTAATGGATTAAGAAGAAAAAGAATGCAAATTATTGATGATTTACACAAGAAGAGTAAATACAGAGAACTGAAAGTCAAGGCACAGGATTGGAAAGCATGTAAGCACAAACTAAGTAACGTAGATAAAATGGTGCACTCACACCTTCAGATAAAGCTCCTATAATAATGATAACATTAATATGTAAATACCTGTATGTTAAAATCAAAATACAGTCTATTAGTCTCCAACAGCCACATAGCTATAAACAATCTTGGCTTCGAAGTATTGCTATCAACAATTCTCATAACTTTTAAAGCATGTAGTAAATCATTGTACTGCACTTCTCGTTGAGACATTACAAAAGAATGAGACTCTGCGTAGACTGGTATCACATCTGAAAGGATAAAATATATAAAAACTATATGAACCAAGAAAAGCAAACTTGAGAAACGTTCTTAGTAGAGCCCTTAGAAATGTTTGCAATAGGTTTTTACTATATATTATCAAAACTAACCAAGAATAATTTTCCACACATAGTTCCTGTGTACCCCAGGCACTGTGAATCTCAAACAAAACTGTTTCAGCTTAACTTTATCCAACGGTTTATCTTTTAACAATATTTCTAAGGATTTCTTTTCTTCAACACTCCTAAAACCTACTTTTTCGTAATAAAAAAGTCTGAAATTTCGTTCGTCGGTCGCCATTTTTGTTGAAAGATAAGAAAACAAATAACACAAGTGTCAACTGTCAAGATCAGCTGTTGGTGTCATTACAGGACTGGAAACTGTCAAAAAAAAAAAAATTTTAATTGATTACAAAAGACTTAAAATTCAAATTGATATTAATTATTTTATGTGATTTTAGATATTAGATATTGATTTAAATTATATTTAAGCTGTATATATACATATATTTATTTATTTATTTTATCCAAGTCATGTCAGCTTGTGCAGATGATTTTTGTAAATAAATAAAAATGGCGTGTTTGTTTACAAATTGTAGTAGATTTACACCCATTATAGTAGATTTACACTCATTGTAGTATTTTCACATCCATTATGTAGTAGATTTATACTCTTTTTAGTATTATTACAATCATTGATGAGTTACGCTTTGTAGTTTTAGTAAATTTGCAAACACTTATTATCGATATACATTTTTCAGCACCTTCATACAAAATCTCTTGTGTTATTTAATATTATTTTTTATTTACATTTAATTAATCATCTGCATGATTATCTAATTTTGGTCATTTATTAATATTTATTAATAATTTCTTCAGATTTATTATTTAATTATTAGTAGTAGTTAATTTATAATAAAACCATTGACGTGTTAATAATATATTTTCATTTATATTTATTAAAATCTATGATTTACAAAAGAATAAATAGCTACATTTTACAAAACCGAAAACATTAAATAAAGCATTTTTGAAAATTATAAGAAAACATTACATTCTCTCATAATAACTTTTTTTATTATATACTATTTTACTATAAATTCATTCATAACTTTATAATTATACATAAATATATCTTTATATGTAAGTACAGTAAAACACCGTTAAGACGATCATGCTTGTGATTTTTGGGATATAGGATAGGCTCTTTATGCTGGTGTGCTGCACTTTAAAACATATTTTAATATATATCTCAATAATTGGCCGTAACGTTTAACACACCAAAGCTAAAGAAGGTACTATTCTTCAAAATAAAATAGAGATGTTGAAAGTATTCATTAAAAATCACAAACATAGTTGCAGAATTTCAATAACCCAATAAGAAAATTTACAGTTGTGCAGAGAAAAGGGAAAATGTAGAGCAGATTGATAGATTGGTAAAAGTTTTACATAAATCCAGAGAAGTTAGCTACCGCCACATCAATTATAAAGGGCCCCTAACATGTAAAAATTAATAAAAAACCTCCCAAGTTGTCCCTAGAGGCAGAAATTGTAAATGATTCAATAAATCAGTTTGTCAGAAGGTTCTTTTACTTTTAATTTATAAGAAATTTTTACTGTTTGAAGGGCTCCTCAACAAATATTTATACTCTCCCCACGCTACGCTTCTGGTTGAATGATTTCATCAAAAATGAGTTCATGAATTTGGTGTTTGAAATGGCTGAATAATTTGTTTTAAAAATAGAAGCACTGCAAAATTTGCATCTAAATTTTTCTTCCAAACTAGAATAAGTGATTAATTTAAATAATGTAATATAAATAATTTATCACCTACATATGCCAAAATTAGAAATTGATACATAAAAATATGTAGTAGTAAGTGCATTATTTTTCCCATCCCGCATAATAAACTTTACTTTATCACTTAAGACCAGCTCAGGTCTCAGACAAATCGTCTTGACAGGGTTTTACTATATATTATTGCAATTTATAATTATATATCCTTTATTAAAAGAACTTTCATTCGCTTTCAATAATAAAATTGTATCAATGTCAATAAATTAATATTTGTCATAAAGCTCAACAAATTCATCAACAGTAATCTCAATCATGAAAGAAATTCAAAAAGTATTCAGATACCGTACACACTCTTAGTGCTACACTATTTATACCATACTCAGTGGAGCCAAAGTTTATAGTATCATCTTTTACACCAACTAAAGATTCTCAGATAAAAATTATGTACAACAAAATTTACTTTCCTTCCACTTATCCATCAAGAAGCATTGCTTCAACTCTTGCAGGAGGATTATCAGGATACATTTTGTTAACAGAACAATTCTCTAGAACCCTTTTGGCGAGTTGTTTGACGGATTCATAAGGCCTATCATCTTTTATGAGACGCTCCAGTTCTACTAAGCCCCCTTCGCTTTCAAACAGATCACAATATTTCGTCGCTAAAAAAAATAGCATAAATAAGTGATAAATAAACAAGTGACAAAGTAAACACTTACGATAAACTAAAGTTAGATTTGCCAAAGCCCAAACAGCCCAATGTTGACATTCAGGGGTATCATAACATCTAACCAGGCGCATGATTGGTTCAAAGCTCCTGTAATTGATGTTTCTCTCGGCCGAAAGATTCCATCGCTCTATGGCCTTTGTCATCTTTTGCAATACATCATCTCGTTCCTTTTCTAGACCAGCCTTAGCCCAAGCTTCTTGGCCATCGGAGGCCAAGTGTGACAATACACCTGCTGCATTGTAACTGACCTACAAAAAGTGATAAAGTAATACAATGGTAATACACAATACATATATGTATATATATATATATATATATATATATATATATATATATTTTGCAGAGTTTCGAACAAGAATCCAAAAATAATACAAAATAAAAAACAAGAAAAGTTTTTAAAAAAACAATTTCTTTATTTAATTATTTGTTTATTGTCGACGTTTCGGAACTAGGTACGTTCCATCTTCAGGACATCTGTCAAGAAACATGATCTTGATGAGATTTTAGCAAACAATATGTTTAGGAAAAGAAAATAGATTTTTCTTAAATAATGAATTAATTGTAAAAAAAATAATATAATAATGTACAGAAATATGATAATATGTTCAAAATGAAAATGATAAAAATGATAAAAATAAATGAGTGGATTATCAGAACAGGATATTAAACATAATAGAAAATTTTTTGAAAGTTATGGAAATTTTTTAAGAAAAGGTTAATGACAAAGTTGAATTAATTACCTGTATGTTTGAATATTTGTTAGCACTTTTTCACTAAACAAGCTTTTTTAACAAAAATGAATTTGTGAGTTAATTTTCCGCCGAATAATTAGATTTTGTAAATCAAAATTACTAAAAGATTTGTCTTTTTTAAAATTATTATTTGAAAACACAAATAATATTGTTCTCTGGATGTTGTTCGATTGGCTTTTGAAAATTAACTAATTGAAACTGGTGTATCCTTTGTAACACGTGTAAACACTTGAACGAGAGATGTGAGATTGTATGTGTGTGTTTTTATATGTTAGGGTGTGAATACTTAAATTGTTGATCTTAAAAGAAAGTCGATATTAATTGTTTGTCAAAAAGTGTAAAAAATTTAAATATGAATCATGTAATAGGTTGTGATCTGATCTAATGTTGACACTGTTAGAAACATTTATGAGAATGAGACAACTCTCCGCGAATAACCTTCTAAAGATGCAACTTTCATGATATAAAATCTTTGGAGTGAAATTAAATGAATGGGCGTTTTCTATAGAATGTTGTACTAGGGTACTTTTGAAATTTTTTTGTTTATGGTGGACCACACTTAGTTCATGTTGTCTCATTCTCTTGTGTACATATTGGGAGGTTTGTCCAATATATTGAAAAGCACAGTCATTACAAGAAACAGAATATACTACATTAGTATTGAGATTGGATGGGGTAGGGGATTTAATGTTCGTAAAGAATTGGTTGAAGGAGTGTAAGGATGAGCCTGATATGGTGGACCACACTTAGTTCATGTTGTCTCATTCTCTTGTCAGGCTCATCCTTACACTCCTTCAACCAATTCTTTACGAACATTAAATCCCCTACCCCATCCAATCTCAATACTAATGTAGTATATTCTGTTTCTTGTAATGACTGTGCTTTTCAATATATTGGACAAACCTCCCAATATGTACACAAGAGAATGAGACAACATGAACTAAGTGTGGTCCACCATAAACAAAAAAATTTCAAAAGTACCCTAGTACAACATTCTATAGAAAACGCCCATTCATTTAATTTCACTCCAAAGATTTTATATCATGAAAGTTGCATCTTTAGAAGGTTATTCGCGGAGAGTTGTCTCATTCTCATAAATGTTTCTAACAGTGTCAACATTAGATCAGATCACAACCTATTACATGATTCATATTTAAATTTTTTACACTTTTTGACAAACAATTAATATCGACTTTCTTTTAAGATCAACAATTTAAGTATTCACACCCTAACATATAAAAACACACACATACAATCTCACATCTCTCGTTCAAGTGTTTACACGTGTTACAAAGGATACACCAGTTTCAATTAGTTAATTTTCAAAAGCCAATCGAACAACATCCAGAGAACAATATTATTTGTGTTTTCAAATAATAATTTTAAAAAAGACAATCTTTTAGTAATTTTGATTTACAAAATCTAATTATTCGGCGGAAAATTAACTCACAAATTCATTTTTGTTAAAAAAGCTTGTTTAGTGAAAAAGTGCTAACAAATATTCAAACATACAGGTAATTAATTCAACTTTGTCATTAACCTTTTCTTAAAAAATTTCCATAACTTTCAAAAAATTTTCTATTATGTTTAATATCCTGTTCTGATAATCCACTCATTTATTTTTATCATTTTTATCATTTTCATTTTGAATATATTATCATATTTCTGTACATTATTATATTATTTTTTTTTACAATTAATTCATTATTTAAGAAAAATCTATTTTCTTTTCCTAAACATATTGTTTGCTAAAATCTCATCAAGATCATGTTTCTTGACAGATGTCCTGAAGATGGAACGTACCTAGTTCCAAAACGTCGACAATAAACAAATAATTAAATAAAGAAATTGTTTTTTTTAAAAACTTTTCTTGTTTTTTATTTTGTATTATTTTTGGATTCTTGTTCGAAACTCTGCAAAATATACACAAATCCAAGACTCTACCATTCAATATATATATATATATATATATACAATCAAATATCACTTTTTATATGAACCAACCTCAATGCCATCACTTTTTGAATCCAATAAATCAGAAAAAACTTTAATAAAGCTAGCAGTCATCAGTCTGTGCCGAATATCTTTGACTTCAGCTACATTTCCTAAGAGCCCCATCATATTTCGCAACAGTTCTTCTTGAAATGGAAATTGCTGAAGAAAAAAACATATTTATTAATATGAACAACTTTTCAAACTGACAAATAAAATGAATTCCCTTACAATGAGACACTGTATAAAATGGTCCATTCCATCGCCTTCTAAAAATCTCAAACAGTTAGCCGGTGTCTCATCAGTGACATTCCACATTGTTGACCAAGCCACTTCCAGGACATCGTCGCAAATGTGCCGCAGTATACGATTTTTGATAATCCACAACATTTTCTAAACAAACAAAAACAACACAACTGATTAATAAGAATACAAATTTATATTATTATTATTATTACAGAAATAGCCCCCATATCTCCCAAGCACTGCTTTTGTTTGTTATCCACTTGACAAGCCAGCGAATTTAATAAATAAATCGCTATTCGTTGAACGAAGCCCCCTTGGTCGGAATCGGAGACACCATGGAGGAGGATTTTCACTAATTTCTCGTATTGGAATAACTGAAATAAACAAAATATCTAGGTGTAAGTGGCAAAATTGAATAAACTGTGATAGATTCTAACACTATGAGGTCCTACAACAAAAATTAGATATATTAATATGTATTTATGTCGATAATACATACAACATCTTGCGGCAACTTGAATTGGCACAATGTTAAGCATCCATTTCTCATCATTGTCTCATCTTCTAGATGTTTGGCCATCCCATTTAACAACGTCCTGATTATATGTTGCCTCATTCTTAAACCAATTTGAGTCTTTTCTTTTCCCTTTACTATATAGAACAACGTTGCACTGGAAAATATCAATGAAAAAATGTATATACACACACACACATATATATTATTATTATTATTATTATACCTGCCAGAAATCTGTATATGTTTGCAAGAAACATGCCGATCCATTGCTGTTAAAACTGCTGTTAAAGCTCTCAAAACTTCAGAACAATTTTCAAATCGTAACAAATGATACAAATCATTCAAAACTTTTGTTAAAATATCAGGTCTCTCCTGATATGCTTGAGCTGCTACTAAAATTTGTCTCTCATTGTGATCTCCTGATATCTGAGAAGAAATTGATGAAATATGAATAGGTATAAATAAACAAATAAATTTATTTATTTCTACTTACAACTTTGGCAGGAATATCATGCCTTTGGCAAGCTGAGTGCAGTGTACCATACAATCCTAGAAATTCCAAAGGATTCCTCATCCGTTTACTCAATCCAGGAATATCAGAGACACAATCAAAATAATCAGCATCATAAAAATTCTCATCCTCTTCATCACTGACTATATCGTTAAGTTTCTTGTTTAAGGATGGATTGTTTGCACTATTCTGATTTGACTGGTTGTTATTTATATTGGAAGAAGACATGGCTACGCCTGTACCTGCTAGATTCGTACCAGATATGTCCAGATGGGTTAATCGAGGTAAGCAATCAATCAACTTGGCTAAAACCTATTGTAAAAAATATTAATATTTATGAACAAGGTCAATAATTGTTAAATATAATTTTCTCACTTGGTTTTCATCCTCATAAAGATTGGCTCTCTCACTGGACTGTGATAAATCAAGACATTGCAAAGATGTTAATCGACAAAGTGTATCTATAGCTTCATCCAAATGGTCCACATTATACAAAATTAGACAATTCAAAGACTTTAATTTTTCTAAATGTGTAAACTCGCCTCTGATATGACATTGTGATAGATCTAAGTACGTTAAATTCTTTAAATTTGACAACAACACTGATAACTTCAAATTTATATCTCGAATTGTCAGTTTTTTAAGAACAGGAGCTTGTATAACATATCCTAAAAGAATAATTCACATTTAGTACTGTTTCAAAATTTTGAAATGGTATTATAAAAAATAAAAATAAAACAGTTTCTCAAAGGAAAAAAACTAAAACTTCGAAATGTGAAAATAAAAATATATATTACAACATTTTCAGATTTTATGTAAAGTTCAGACATTTCACTATATTTTCAGACAACTTTCACCATTTTCAGTGAACTATAAACATCTTAAGGCAATTTACCATATTTTCAAGCAATCAACAGCATTTTTAGGCAATCTACAAGACTACTTTCACCATTTTCAGTTAACTATCAACATCTTCAGATAATTTACCACATTTTCAAGCAATCAACAGCATTTTTAGGCAATCTACAAGACAACTTTCACCATTTTCAGTGAACTATCAACACCTTCAAATAATTTACCACATTTTCAAGCAATCAACAATATTTTAGGTAATCTACAACATTTTTTGACTATGTATAACATTTTCAGACAACTTACAACTCTTTCAGACAATTTATAACATTTTCAGACAATAATCAACATTTCAGAGGTTTTACTTCATAAATATTACAACTGCAATTATAATTTAAAAAAAAAACATGTATGTTCATCTATTACCTGTAGTTCTGAATATGAGCCAATTCGATTCAGCTGTACAAGTTGGTATAATCGATGTATCATTTCCAAAACTCAGACAAGTCAGATTCTTTGAATGCAAATTTATATTACTTAAAGTTTGAGATGTTAATTTAGTACAGTTCGATAATTGTAAAGACACCAGATCATGATTTAGAATATACTGGAGGCCGGAATCAGTCATCATAGAATTTCTTAAAGTGACATGTTTTAATTTTGTATTCTCCAAGTGTGTAAAGAGCTTTGCAAATTTGTCATTAGTTTCGTAGCCATAGTCATTGTGGTATTCTATCAACCTAGTATAAAGAAATAGAAAAATAAATGAATAAATTCATACATAAATATTAAATAAATACTTATTTATAATTATTTAGTTGTAATATTGTTTTGTTTAGCTAAGAAAAAGTTTTAACTTATAGATTATGATGCTATAATCTTATTGTTGAAATAAGAATAGAAAAAATTAAAATCTTAGCAATTTGAATTTTGTATTTAATTGAAAAAAAAAGTTTCTTTCTTATAGCCATTTGAGGTCAAAATAGCCTCATTAATTATACTGCAGCATTGAATATCACCCGTCAACTACTAATTATATTATTATAATCAATCAGTTACAAGTATTATCATTAATGAATAAATTAATTAACATTGAATGAAAGTGGATAGCAAAAATGATGCCAAATTTTGTATATAATTATAGTATATTACATCAAATCCAAATTGGCACTTGGCCATATGGAAATTACTAGCATTAATAAAATTTTCTTGTATTTATAACTGTTACAATAATATAAATAGTTATAAATGAGACAATAGTAAATATTGAAGATAATATTGAATATATAAAGAAGCTTATTTAAAAAAAAAAAACAATTTGGTTTTTGATATAGGACAGCTTAAAAAAAAATCAATAATGGTTTGGTAGGACCTTTTCAAAACCGGACAAAAGCAGCTCATAAACGATGTAATATTCAAGTTTAATAAGTTATAATTAGAAAGCAATAACAATTTGAAACTAATAAATTTCATCGCATGAGCTATTTCCATTTAGACTGCTTAACACGAATTTGTTGTGATTTGTTGTTTTCTATTCTTGATTTGAAATCATCATCGTAAGTGATGATGTCAATCGAGTATAATAAGTATTACAATTTTGATTTTTCTTCACTAAATTCCTCATGCATCATAAAATTTGTAACATCAACATCCTGCTGGTGATTCCAAACAAACAAAACTCATCTTCTAACAAATGTTTTGCATATTTCATCTGCAATAAAACATTAATCACCATTTTATTACCACTTACCTCTCACAAAGCTCCCTCGGCAGACTAAAATCCTTCCTAAGCCTCAAGTCAATTTTATCATCATAATTCAGATACTCTTCGTACAGAATATCAATATTTTCAACGACATATTTCAACGTGATATCGTACAAAGATTCAGGATCTGTATTATATTTAAAATCAACTCCAGACATTATTATTTTAATCAATTCACAATAATCCACAAAATGACAGATGACATTTCAACATCAGCTGATTATTGTTGGAAATTTCACGTTTGAAATAGTTGGCACATAATTAAAAGATTTAATTAATGGTAATAATAATTTAAATTTTTTTTGTTGTTTTATTTGTTTTTTTTAATAATTTTAAAATCACTTTTTTATGTTAGGATGCTTTACGATGTTGCATTAACAATATGCAATACAGATAGCTGTCATCAGAGCTGTCATGTCAAGAGTGACATACTTCATGGCGGTGTTGGTTGACAGTTGACATTTGGCAGTTAATAATTCAAAAAAGAAAACAAACTAGATGTAAATAGTATTTTTTATTAAAGAAACTTGCATCTTGCATGATATGTTTATGTGCATAAATAATCGTATTAATCAATAAGATTTTAAATTTAAATATCCTGAGGACGCAGCTCCTATAAATTTTCATAATTAAACCACTTTTCGTAGGCCTATAGTATTTTAACATGTCCCACTGCTTCGATCTTCGCGCAAAACTAATCAATGCGATTTTTCATCAATTGTTTAATAAAATTCCTAGTCGATCAACAAATTTTCTGCCACTACACATTTACGAACCAATTGCCTGCTAATCAGACGTTTAAAATTTATAAATTAAATTAAACTTTTTACCCCATCCGATGTGCATTGTATATTCGTTAACCCAGATGTATAACCATTTGAAGCATTTAGAAATCAAATTTTACATATTTATAGTGTGCTATATTTTTCCTTAAATATTACTATGTTTAACTAAATGTACAAATAATTAAATATGTAATTAATGTTTGTGTAATTTATAATTAATAAATTTGTGTGTTCATAACATTAAATAATCTGTTAATAAAATATAGCTGGTGAAATGTCCTCTAGTAGTTTTATAAAAATGTCCTTTTTTTTAAAAAATGTGAATGTTCTAATAAAATTATAAGTAAACCCATCAATTTTAGTATTTGTATTTATAATACACTTATTTATGTATGATATACTGAATGTTCACCATTCTATAATATATTTTTTAAAAATTACAACCCTCCTACTCTAATTTATAAACTTTCGGGTACTTTTCGTACAAAATTAAATATTTTTAAATATTACTATTAAACCTCATCGATTAGTATTTGTCATTATAGTAATCATATTTTAAAACAATAATTATTGCCAAACAACATTCTACAACAAACAAATTGCTACCAAATCCAAAAATTTCGAAGAACATTCGAAACACTTGTCAATTTTAGTATTCGTTGTTATAATAAACATACTAAAAAGAACAATATAGAGCAAAAAAAAATTTCCAAATATTCGTACCTGGTTCTTTTCATATTTTTCACAATCATTTATAAAAACTTTTGCATTCATCGAGTTTTATCGAATGACTTTTAAATTTAAAAAATCGGTGCAGCCGTTTTTGAGAAAACGTCGACAAAAGATCAAATTTTTAACTCACACATTTTTTGCAATTTTCCAATATTAGAAAATCAGATTTTCTGGCGAAAACCCAACCTTCTCCGGCAAATTAAATTTAAAAAAAATCATTTTAATATGATCCATCTTTCAGCGCCACTTTGGTCTTCACAAGACATAGGAGATCCATGTCAGTTTCCATTTCAAATTGGCAATCATCACCTTTAGATCAAATATAAACTTGCATAATTATATAAACTATAAAAAAACAAGATCAGTTATAATTAATACATCATCCAAACGCGGAAGAAAAAAATTAGTAATCGCAATTCGTCTAGACTGAACTAATTGAATTTCAATTGATCTGTAATTATTTTATGCAAATATAAATTAAACGTTTATTGCTAAATAGATTTTGTTATTAAAATTAATTTCAACACCAGCAGGGAGTTAATTCCATATAAATAGTAATAATAATAATAATAGTTTTATAAATAATGGCCCCATATTGTTGTCTCGAGCCAAGGTCGACATTATTTTCGCCTGAAATGTCTTATTGTCAGGTCAAGTGTTGTTCTAGGCTAGACTAAACCGAATAATTGCTCATAATTTCCAAAGTAGGTGAAAACCGGGTAAAATAGCACCAGGTGAAATGACATATTGGCACATCTGTAGGATATAAACATTTTACTCCCTATCCAGACCAAAACTAGTGCCTAAAAATAAAACTGCAACAGTAAGTTCACATCAGCCAGTATTAATAGACATCTTAAGATAAAATTAATTGATGTCATAATTACAACCTTCAGCACCATTTAAAACCTCGTCTGGACCTTTATTAGACATCAGTTACTAATAAGGCATGTTATGTAATTACTACAACTTTTGGGGGTTTTACATCACCAGAAGAAAACCTCTTCCAGGCCTTCATTAGACATGAGCTATTATTTAGGCATTCTAAATTCTTCTTTAAGGACTTCTTAAAACCTTCTAAGAATTCATCAAACAAGATTTTAGGTGCATTTAGGTGCAACTATTGAGACACCAGGGTAAAATGACACCAGGGCAAAGGTGAATTGACATATTGGCACATTTGTAGAACATAAACATTTTACTCCCTATCCTGACCAAAACTAGTGTCCAAAAATAAAACTGCAGCAGTAAGTTCACATCAGCCACTATTTCCTCTGGACCTTTGCTACACATCAGCTATTATAAAAGCATGTTATGTACTACATCTTTTGGGTCTTTTACATCACCTTTAAAACAAAACCTCTTCCAGATCTTCATTAGACATGAACTATTATTTAGGCATTCTAATTCTTCCTTAAGGACTTCTTGAAACCTTCTAAGTATTCTTCAAACAAGATTTTAGGTGCATTTAGGTGCAACTATTGACACACTCCAATCCTATAAACTATGAACATTTAAGGACTTTTTAAAACCTCTTAAAGACCCTTTGGTCAAGATTTGTCCAGAGCTTTTTCTACATAACCCGTCAACTAAAATATACCCAATCAATTATCAACTATCCCTAATTACACCGCTCTCCCCATATCTCTGTTCCGTGTTCTTGTTTACATAATAAGTAGTTGCTCTAGATGCAACGTTATTTTCGGCAAAAGAATTATACATCAACCTTGTCACGTCACTCTAATTCTTAAATGTTAACAATTCAGAATTAATAATAATATAACAACAATAATAAAAAATTACATATTCAGATGCACGAGGCCGAAAGAGGAGTCCGGAAACAAATGGATTTTCTCGTGGTAAAAAATGAGACATTTAGGAACTTTCAGACTATCTACAATATTTTCAGACAATTCACTATATAATAATAGTAGTAATGAATGGTAATTTGCCCGAAGGCAGGTCCATGATGTGAGAGCCAAGACGAATAAATGATTCCCTTACCCTTCGTGGTCTATCAATCCCATCACCACTATCCCTCACCCTTTTTTACACATTTTTATGTATTTTCCTTTCAAAACTACTGCTTCCATGCTTCCTGATCCTGCGCTTCGGCTTTCAGTTTCCTGTATTTTCTCTTTTCGCGTAAGTCGTCAATCGTCTGCATTCTTCTTCTTCTCCAATCCTTTTAGTCCTTCTATTTTACCCTCAAAGCCGTTTCAGAGATAGGGCTAAAAGTGTACAAAATGGCAGTTTTTGGGAACACAAAGCTTCCAATTCGATCCAAAAAACATTTTGCTTGTGAAGAAAGGGGGCGTCCATTAATCAGTTAGCGGTTTTGAGTTTTTGGGGATTTTTAATTAACCCCCCTCCCCTCCCCCACCAAACATTACGTGTATTTTTAGTTACGTGAAAAAACTGTAATTTTTTTTTTTTTTTTAAAACATTTGAAATTTTTTAAATAAATCAGTTAATAAATACACGTGATATCTTACTACACCCCTCCCTCCCCACGTGATATTTGGTGATTTTTTGTCTAACCCCCTAAAAATCTCACGTGATTAATGGACGCCCCCAAACAATTAGTTGAAGAAGGCAGATTTTTTTCCCAGGGTTAAATTTTGTCACACTTTTTCAATTTCAGTGTCAAACGATTCAGAACTACTTGAAACATAAAATTAAAAATCGTATCTTCTGGCGAAAACATAAACTTGTCCTTCGTAAAATTAATAATATATTACCATAATTGTAATATAAAAAAAATCTTTTTATTGTTAGAATGTGAAATGGCTCTCTCGTACCATCATATCATCATTTCATAATTTAATTTTACGTTACACGTATAAATCTAATTATTAACCTTAATAAATTTATATAGTTATTATCATTAACAATTCAGCAACGACTGTTCTAATTCAGTTTATAAAAAAAAATTTTAAGAAACTCGATCTGGGATTCTAACCGCGACCTTGCAGCAGTATTTAATTATCACTAAATAAAAAAAGAAATGTTGCACAGCTGTTCGTTAATTTTTATTTAATTATATATAATTAATAGTAATGGATAATTATTTGTTTGGGAGACTGTATTGCAAATATAATAATTATATATGATAGATGCAGGTGTAGTCAACAGTTGGACTTTGATAGCTTTTTAACTTCCCGAAGGAGAAGTTGATGGTTTAACCAGAAAATTAGCTTGATATCATCTTGGTCTAAATTTGCATTTTAAAATATTATAGGCCTACGAAATGTGGTCTAATTATACATATTCTTCAATGTTTGAAATAATAGGCAGCACCACACTTTTGTGCACTAAGTCAATTTAAAACATATCAATTGGAAATTGCTTCATTTAGTGAAAGTGAAACTTTATCATGCTACTCTCCTCATGGCACAATGCCACTTACAGCTAGTTTATGTCGGTAATAAGAAAGTAATCCAGTGGTTGTCCTTCTGGAGTATGTATGTGTATGTGTTTGTGTGTATGTGTATGTGTGTATGTGTGTGTATATATATATATATATATATATTGCAATATCTTAAAGTGGCCCTTAACAGGCCGATCAAGAGTTTCTCAGAGCGAATTTCTCAAACGCAGAGTTTCTTAAGCATCTTATTAACGGAGTGAAAATCGCAAGAATTAATTATGAACAAGAAGAAGCCTTTATGCTAATTATAACAAGCCGATGATTATCAATTTGGAACAACAATCGAATGGAATGGAATT